ATATATATGCATATATATATATATATAATAGCACTATGATATATATATATATATATATTACATAGAATTTATGTAATATTTAAATTTATATATATATCAATATTATTTGATATTGATCTATAATCGTGTAATCTATACATGCCTAGATAGATAGATAGATAGAGGTTAATTCTAACTGTTTCTGTTCTAAGGGCACTAAAATGGCCTAATTTTACGCCCGTCATGGATTCGACCAACTCTTATTATACCAAGCTTGGCTTTCTCGTATGTTTAACCTTCACCTTTTTGGGCTTTGTATCTTTCTTTTTCATTTTTGACTTTTTCTGTGTTATGAACACCAAAAGGCCCTTTTAATCATACCTACCACGGGGTTTAACTAAGCCCAAAATAAGGAACGGGACCCGGCGTATTCTGGACAGATAGCCACGAAAAATTCCTAAGATTTCTCACCAGGATTTTGATCCCGGATTTCTAGGTGATGCCTTAGCCTTCTAGGCTATCCGAGTGTTCCATGATGAGGATCAGGGTCTAACCCACGGAATCAGGACATATCTGATGTTATTGCTAACAATGAGAGCTTAATTTATTGGGATCAATCTACAATTAAAGCGGGTAAACGGTTTCGAACCATGGACTTCTCGATCTGCAGTGGAATGCTCTACCATTTGAGCACAATTTGTAGAGTAGTGCCCTAAATTTATGACTGATTCGGGCCCCATTTTATCTCACTTAAAGTCTTGCGGATAGTGTTAAGTTTTAATAACTGTATAAGCACTGCTATCTGTAATTTTCCTGTAACATATTTAATTTTTATCTTCATTTCAATAACATTTGCTAATAGAGATGACTACTGTACCCGAATTTCATAATGTAAATAATATCTAATGCGATAAATTGTCGATTAAACTTCACCATAAAACAGATACTTGACTCATCAACTAAAAATTCCTAAGCAGCTTGAAATTAATAACGAATTTATCAGTTAGAACTATAATTAGTTTTTAAATCATCAATTGATATTAATTACAATTAAAAGATGGCGGATTTACACAAATAACATTTTAGGGCCTCAATTTACGAGGTTACACCTAAAGGCCTCAGGCTTTTAAGTTTATTATTTGATATAGTAAGAGCCTCATAGTTTAGGGCTCTGTTGTAATCACGTTTCTGTGTATTCGTTTATATTTGGCTCAAGTTCCTCCTCAGTTCTATTTGATCCGTGATTCGAGATGCAATTTATAATTCCATTTTAAAATAAAATTGTATCTATTTCCTTTACATTTATTAAAATAGATAAGAGGCCACTCCTACGGTGATCTAAAGGTAGACTGAAATGTAAAGAGATAAGAAGGAACAAAGGTTGACTTGAATGCTTTCGACATTGTTAATTTCCCACCCATTTTACTAACGGTTCCTTAGTAAAAAGATTGATATTTTGGAGCCATTTTGCTATAAAAGTAAGTAAATTCCACACTCGATCTTTAATTTTTTTTTTATATTTTAAATCTTAAAACTATTATTGAAGGTAAAAGAGAATTTTTAATGGTATTATGTAATTAAAATTTTTCGTTCGCCATTACACCTTCTTCTTCATTTGAGAACTTAAAAATATTCAAAAAGGCTTTAAAATTAATATATTTATAATTTTATATTTGAAATTTGAGTATTTTATTGTGAATTTTCAGATGAAGATTTGGTTTATTCAACTGTTTCTGTTACTTGGTGAGAAAGATCTTTCTTTTATTTGAATTCTTTCTATTGTTAATTATTATTAAAATATAATTTATATATTTTAGTAGCAGTCATTGGCATAGGTAAAGGATTTTTAAATGATGTAGAATTCCAGACAATCATTAAGGAAAGGTGCTATAATCGAACCCTCGATCATAAGAGGTTGGTCAATGGCCAACATGTTCCATTAGGAAATACCATGGAGACATTTATAGATATTTTGGAGGATTTCGAAAGAAATTTCACTCATCCTCCTGAAAAAATTATTGAATTATTCTTAACTAGGTATGGAAATACATATTAAAAATAATTTTAAATGTAAGATTAAGCGGGTTTAATTATAAACAAGTAATTAATTAAAGATACTGTATAATAGAAAATTATAAAATTGAAGGAAAATAATCATTGTATACGTGTACATGAATATTATACATTGAATTTAGTGATGATTTTTTAGAATTTCTATAAAAGTTTGCCACTCTTATCACTTAAAACAAGGATGGCAAATCTTAATGGATAGACTACCGAATGGCGAAATAATGAAGGCAACCCAACCCAGCCTGCGGCTCTAGAAATTCGGGTTTATGTTCGGGTGGCTCAGGATTTTTAATGGCTAGATTTACGCGATTACTTCAGGGCCATCTTGCATCCCTATTGTGGACACGAGAAATGCATTTTTAGTGCCCTCAGAATGGAAAGAGTTAAAATGAAAATAATCCTTATGGGTGTAGGAGCCAAAATATGCCTATTTAACTTTTAATACATACAAATATATATTATATTGAAGAATGAAGATTATAGGCGTCCTCAGAAGGGGCAAATGGGACACTGGCCCATCCCTGAGATCTAGTAAGAAAAAGTCCACAAATAATAATCGTAAGTGATTGATCTTTACAGTCTCGAGCCATGATACATTTTTTTTAAACTCTTTTCACTCTATGGGCACTAAGATGGGCTTTTAAGCAAGCCTATGGGGCGGCCGGGTGGTAAGGGACGGGCCGACATATTCAGTCGGATTACCCCCTGAAAAATTTCTGGGAGAAATTCCTCTGGAATTATGGATGCCCATATTTTTGCGGATGCCCATATATTGAGTGTTGGGAGAATTCTTTCGACATGTCACCTTGAACATAGTGAATCTTTATCACTAGCTAGAACCTCACGTCTTGAACATGGATGTTTGTCGATACTATCTCTTGATCGAGTACTGTAATACAGTACTAGATAGAAGGAAGGACGGCTGATTCATTAAAGGCATTACTTGCCGCTCTAGAAGACACGGGTTCTAATCCGAATCGGATCCTCAATAATTTTCATAGGTGGCCTTCTTCGCCATTCTCCTTTTACCACGTAGAACTTGGCAAAGCTGTAATGGGGCTATTATAATGATTTCTTGGTGTTCGAAAACCGAAACAAACGTGGTCCTAAAAGTTGTTCGAAAACCGAAACAAATTTTCCCATAAGAAACAATATAAAATGGATTAATCAGTTCCCGACCACCAAAACAAAGCCTTTTTTTTCTAGCTATGCTTCGTGCATAAAAATGCTTACAAATGCAATGTGAAGTGCAATNCACGCTCTGCAACCGTCTTCGATTCCATCCATTAGCCACTGGTAGGGAGCTATTTGACTAAGTGCATTGTTTTAAGATTTAAAAAGTAAAGAATATTTTATATTTTTATGTACGTTTCTTTACAAAGCTATATTTAATTATAATTTTCTTTAAAGTATATTCGTACAATTGAAGAATATTTTGTACCAGGTATGTACCGGTACATCCACCACACATTTTATTTCACAGATTAAGTTTTTATTATTTTATTTTTAATTGTAGCCCTTATATCGTGGCTAGCGATTCGGAATGTAATTATGATATCAAAGATGCATTTAGAGAAGTCAACGGTTTTTACTGGCTTATCGAATAAACGAATACGAATGGACCCTAGACCATCACTGACGCGCAATTGTCTGATTGCCCCTGGATGTCGGCTTCTTACAGAAACGGCTTCCCTACTATCAAATGTCACGGCACGCCACTGCTAAAATGTAAAAATATAATATAATATTATATTAATAAATTTTTGTTATTTAATGTAACGTAAACATATATAAACATAAATTTATGGATGCCATTTATATTACTATTAATTAATTTGATTTAAGTTCAATTGCGACGAGTACCAAAAACGGTAGTAAGTACATTATATAAACTTATAGATTTCGAATTGATGGCGTTATTGAAGAACAAGAGAATGTTTTTAGACAAAATTTAAACGATAAAGGTCGCCTGGAATTAATTAAAGCAATACTTAAACCGACTACAAAATTAACTGAATTTCGTGAAGAAATATTTTCAGAAGAGAAAAAATGTGCCCTTTATTACATGATGTCTCACGCTATTGTTATTGATAAAGAAAGCCATTTTAATCCAACTGTACCGCCAGATGGAACGAGTCCAGAGTAAGTAGAATAAAAAAGTTGTAGAATTTTATTAATTAACATTAAAATTTCATATTAAATAATCCATAGAGCTACAGAACAAGGTGTGGTAACTTTAAACAATAACCCTATACACTCCATAGCTCTTGGGAGAGTATTGTTAGGTATTCTCGCCGGTTTAAAGAGTGAACAAGAACAATCCACAGCAAGTATATTGAAATTTATAAATAAATTACCAAGTATGCCTCCAGAACCTCACCAGTTAGAAGGAAAAATAGATCCTCTTTATGGTGTCACCGTTGGAGGTATGTCTGTAAAGTAAAATACAGTATACCCCCTATAACACTGTAGATAATTCCGTGTTATATGAATTCCATGTTGTACGAGTCAGTTAGATTTTACAAATACGTGAGCCATTCACAGCCCGTCACACGTATTTATAAAATCTAAGTGACTCGTACAACATGGAATTCATATAAAACGGAATTGTCAATAGTATTATAGGGGGGTCTACTGGTATATTTTAACGAATGAATTCAAATTTTGGTATCTTATCGTATGACTTAATATTTTACTAGATACAATAGCAGCAGAAGTATTACGAACGGTGAGAACAGAAGCAGGCAAGATTACCAAGACAAGAAAGTTTGGACCGAATGGAAAGTGGAATTCGACCAATTGTCCAACAAAATACATTTTAACCAAGCCAGCAACTTATGCTACTTATGGAGAAATACGTGGTGCTGGAGATGGTTAGATTTAATTATTTTCTTAATTTAAATGACTTATTATATTAAAAGATTCTTAAATGTAATCGAATTCACATTTAGGTCTCATACTGGGACTTCAAGTTAGAGAATTGAGAAAAAAGAATGCAAAAATAAGTATTAGTACTCTTCTTCGTATGTACTATTCAACAAGAGGAATTCCTTTAAGTAATACGTACAGTTACTGTAGACGTTGGGATAATTGGGGAATATATAATGATAAAGCTTTCGAGCAAATTCGTTTTTACTCGCGACTTATGAATATCGCTATAGGAGGTAGCAGCCTGAAAGATGCAGATTTACTTGAAGGTGCCAACGATGCATTTAGCGAATTCACAAATTCTAGAGATGATATTGTCGATTCTATTATAAGTAAGTTACCTTCTTAATTATCTCTTTATTAATTAAATATAATTATATTAATTAATGAATATGTTTTCATTTACAAAATTGATGGAAGTATAAGGGTGCTTGCATTTACAATTTACTTTCTTAATAAAATGTAAATTTTCTCGCTTAAAAATTATTGAAAATAATTATTTAAAGTCTTATTTTTTTTTATTTAAATCAATGGTAATAAATTATTTCTTTATACATTCCAATTTATAATGTTTTACCTTTTGTTACAGCATTTATATTTTATCGATAGAAGAATTTTTCTATCTTATCAAAGAGATATATAACACGACCTTGTATTTTTATTTGATACAACTTTCACGAGCGCTACACGAAAAAATATCTTAATATTATCTGTACAGTACATTGTGTCCAATATATATGTGTTTGCTCTTTCTATGTGGGCCTCTTTTTTTAGCAAGCCCATTATGGGTTGTGGGTTCGGACATGTCCACAATGAGTTAAGAGACGGGACTCGACATATTCGGAACAAACCACCCACAAAAAATTGCCTGGAGATTTTCGAACGCATGGATTCGAATTCGGGTCCCTCGGAGCGGTAAGCTGCTACCATAATCGCTCAGTCATCCGGCTGTCATTTATACATGATGTAAATTGTATATATATTTAAAATATTCGAATATTTCGACATCAGCGATGTAGTTTTAAAGTCTCGTGGCTGAATTGGAAAAGAAACATACGCTGCCGCTCTACGGGTACCGAGTTCGAGTTTGGGTCGGAAAAAGATCCGATGTTTGAAATGTTGTTCTTCATTATACGGCGTTTCCATTGTGGGCCTATCCGAAATTTTCCGAGCATTTTTTTTTATTATTACCATGATTTCCGTAATAGAAATGAAAAAAAAAGAGACCTGCTTAGTGTCCACGCGACGAGAATAAAAATAAATTTGTATTCAAATATAAAACCGAAACAAACAACATACTATTTTATATTTGTACAAAATTAATATGTTTTTGTTATAATAAATTCGATTATTTATTTGAGAAGTATGGCAACACTTACAGATTTCAGAGCATGTGAAAAGTAATAAACGAACGCTCGTTATTGTTCCGAGTGAACGGAGTAAACGAGTCTCGTGTATTTATCCGAATCCGAACGTAACGTATAGCATTTGACATGCGGTAATTCGATAGCTTGAAATAATGGCATCTCTAATGGAAATTGTTTAGTAAACTTTTACAGTGCTTACTGCCTTTAAAACTCGATTGCATGTTTTTATGAATGCAGAATAATTTTAGTTTTAGCTGTTTCATTTTCCTATAAAATGCCTAGTTTATTTACACACATATAGTAAAAAAAAACCAATTATATACATACATATTAACCAGCAATATATATTTCATTAAAATAAATATATACTAAAGGTGCAAGAAACAATGCTTTACTTAGATTAATTAAGCATTTGAAACAAAATATGTCTCATCTTCATATCTACAATCTTAAAAATAATATATTTTCTCTACAAATGTGTTATTTTTAAGATTAATTAAGTGTCTGAAGATTAGATATTTAGTCTCAAAAGATGTTTGATCTCTAAGTAAAGCATTAACTTCTTGCATATTTGAATTTTGTGCATTCCTGTACAAAGAATATATTATATGTACGAACTAATGTTTTAATCACCTGTACAGACCATTATTCAGCTGCAAACTTTTAAGTTGAAATGTAAATTTTTAATTAAAGATATGAAATTTATCTAGAAATTTCATTAGAATACACACGTGTATTTACAACATGAATATGATTTAAACTTGTCGTGCAAGTTTAAATTAATTAAACTTAAGTTTATCATCCGATAATGATCAGTAAAGATGATCAAAACATTAGTTTTTGTATTAAATATATTGCTAAGAAATACTTCCCATCTTAACAATGTAGAGCATTGGTAATTTCATCAGTTACTATTATTTGTTAAATATCATTCGTAAATAATTGATAAGACGTTCATTTCTGAGAGTTCTATTGTTCGAATGCACAGAAAATTAACATAAATACAGTAAAATCTGCTTATTATAATCAAGGATATTGCTATCAATCATCTAATGTTATCAGAATTAGCAAGTCACGGAACATATAAGTTAAAATGCATGATAAAAACTTCACTTATAATCAGAGCTTTAGCTGTATTTATCATCATCAGGTAAATAGATTTTTTAAGCTGCCAACGATTAACGTTAAATCATTATTTGCTTGCAGTATATTTGCTTAAATTGTTAGTATTTCTTCAATTATATACAAACTGTTAAAGATATTGCACAAAATTATCATGCAAGCAACTGATGAAGTATTAATTAATATATCTTGATATACATTTTTAAATTGTTTTGACATGTTTTTTTCAATATTGGAGTCAACAAAGCTAAAATTGTCCACTAATTGAGTCTTATTTACTCTACTTAATCCACTTAAGTGAGTCCCAAAGTGATTCCGATAAGCAGATTCTACTCTACTAAATCATTTTAAATTGTAATAAAACTGCTATGGGCAGATTAAATTAATAGCTATAACTGTAAGCTATTCCTTTTTATGAAAATCATTTATGGCAAAGTCTATTAATTCTAGTAGACTTTTCAAAAGTTTACATGCTTTGAACTATTTCAAATAAATGATGATAAAACATGTCAGTGCAAAGAAGCTATGCCAGCTGGATAAATATACTTTGGGGACTGTAGGTTGGAGACTCCTGATCTAATGTTACAAACACTAAAGTCACATTAATCAAACAGGTTGGGCTATTCTATATTGATATACAAATTTGAAATAAAAGGATTTGGTTGGATTGATCGGATAAAGCAAGTAAGATAAGGAGAGTATTTGTATGGATAACAAGTTTCTATTTAGATGTTAGACATGTGAAGAAAAGCAGGAAAACTCCACGTTGTTAGGTATGAACCCATAACCATTTATCCACTTGGTCAACAGTGGGCCCGAAATAAAAGAAATGGTTCCTTTTTGTGATTTTTCTGCCAGTTAAGCTATCTTAATCTATAATTATTAATAACATTTACTGATGACTTTGTTAGCTTTGCAGTGTCCCCCATAACAATGTTTTTCAACTGCCAGTCTACGAAAAAATTTTACCAGTGCACAGAAAAATATTTTGTACTAATGCTGGCACAATTGATTATGGGTGACATGTAAATAGTAATTACAGTTACTATACTTACTTTATTATGTAGAGTAACTCTAGATAAGCATATGTAAGCATAATTCATAGTTGCATATGAATACTGGTTCATGTAGAATTATCCATAATGTTACCAGTTTGCAATGAGAAAAAGATTGGAAAACACTACCCTATTGGATAGATGGAACATCAATGTTAAGCAATTTGAATTAACTCATTACTAATCATATTGACCTTTGCCATCTTTTGCAACTTGGAAATGCTAAAAAATTATTCTATCAAGTATTGTATTAATTATAAATACCAATATTTTAATATAGTTGCAAGGTATCATAGTGAATTATGTATTTTTATGTCATCGTTTTAAATAATTTAATATGATAATCTACTTCAATAGTTTGTGTATGAACCAATAGATTCATGCTTTAAAGTAATTTACATACTGTATTATTTTTATCATAAGAAGTTTACTTTATATAAAATGTATATGCTTTCTGTAACAATGGGAAAGGAAGAAACTAATTTACTATTTAAAATTTTAATTTGTATGATTTTATTAAATTATTTTAATCTGATAATCTTTTACATAATTAATTCTGTTTGTATTCTTGAAACTTAAATGATTAAACTCAAAAGCTTTAATCTGCATAATTTTCTCATTAAAAAAAAACAACTAATGCATTAATTTCATTAAAATTTTAGGACAAGAAAATTGTTTTAATTATGATTTGGATGTGGGTAAGTAGTTTGTTCAATGCTCAGATATCAATTTAAATCATATTGCTATATACCATTGATTAAATCATTTTCTTATCAGCATCATCATGTGAAACGCCTTCTGATGTGTTTGTCGTACTGGATACCAGAGGAAATGAAGAGGATATATGGAAGAGACAAAAAGATGTTGTTACGTAAGTTTTTTTTTATTTAAATTAGCCTAGATGTGAGAAATAATGTTTTTTAAGAAAAACCAATAATGCTTAATCCAAAAACTTAATAAGAAAATATGCTTTTATTGCATAAATTTAAGTACCTAAATCCTAACTGCTTCAAAAGACAAGTATTGCTGGCTCAGTTTTGGTTTCTGTCCCTGAAGACAGAGGATGACTGAGGCAGTAAAGGCATCGCCTTATTGTTTGGAGAGTTTGTGTTTAGGTTTTAGTCTGCTCNAGCACATACTGTGATTGGATGAATCCATATCACAACTGTATGTAGTCAACTTGCTTCAGCATATGCAAACAGCTTGCTTCCTGACATACAATGCCCTCTGTGTATTGGAATAATGATACTAATACAAAAGTCTCACTTTTATTTGGGCAACCCACATAATTTGTTTTATTCTATAGTCTTGTTGAAAGCACATCTTTACCACAACACCGGAGAACAAGTCCAATAATCAATATCAAGTCCTATTTCAAAATATAAAATACCTTCTTGTCATTCACAAATGTACAGAATAATTCAAAATAGTAAATTATATTATTGGCTATTTTTAATTATTCTGTATGATCTTAAGGTGTAATTGAAATTATTCCATTTCAATCTGAATAGATTATGGTAGCGAAAGTTAAATGCAAAACATAAACATTTCAAGTACTTTCACTTTTAATAATTTAAAACAGAGTTCTTAACGAATACAGTCATCTTATATTCGTGTATAATGGCATGACTTCTGGTTTGCATCAGAAGTTCGTATATAGTTAATTGGACCTCCTGCCCCTAAGGCTTTCATCTCTGTTCTTAGGTTTTGTCTATCTAACTTCATTCTCAAGATTAAGGAAAGATGGACAGACATATGGACAACAGTCAGAATTTATGTGTACAATTACTGTAATTCAAATTGCAGCCCAATAACATTCCAGAGTAAGGGTTCAGATACTGAGCTTTGAGGACAGTGTTTATTTAGGGGGTAAGATTTTTAAACAAAGCCCAATTTAAGCTCAGCTGTTCTGTCTTTTAAGAAATACTTGAGCAAGTAGAAAATATTTTGTGGTACTTTGGCATCTCTGATAAGTTTTAAAATTAGGTCATCAAAGTCATCAAACATTGTCAAATATATATCTTTGATATCTAGAAATATTAAAAGAGACATACATCAATCTCTTCTTCTTTCTTTGCTGTAGAATGTCTCATAATTTAACGAGGATATCCTCTGCAGAACACTGGGATGTGAAACCATATTGGTCATTACTCAAAAACTTTCCATGGGGTAAAGCTTTCTTTTGAATAAAAAAAATTATGAGAAATGAAAATTCATGATACAACTATTATTTGAGAGAATACATTATGTACATAACCTGGGGTACGCCAGTATTTTCATTGAAGAAATATTTATATATCATTATAAGTTACTTTTAAAATATCATTCAAGACAAAATTTTAAATTAATAAAACTCAGCAATATTGGATATGTTATTAAGAAACCATTAATTGTTAAAATAATTATTACTTGGTTTTCATTTATAATTTTAAAAATTTAAAAATAAATTTTGTTTCATATTTAGTTCATTGTCAACTGGTCTAGATATTCGCTATTATGGTGGTCGTTTCTATATCTTTACTAATTCCCGTGGATTTGGCGACCGAGTGTTAGAAACTATTGCTTTTAATGAAACTTCAAGTGGATGCGTAGGATGTAAACTGGATTGGTATTATGCTGGTAAGATCAAATTCTTTAATTATAATTACTCAAATTGTAAACTGAACTATTTACTGAATTTTATGTTGATTTTAAATAAGTTTCATATTAGTTTCATAAATGTATTGATGAAATGATATCAACAATTAGTCCTGATTTATATGAGCATAAGTTACATAAATTCAGATTTTCATTACGTTCTTTTCCCTGAATGAACAATGTTGCCACCACCATATGTTTGTGCATATTCATTCTCAAGATGCTCTGAAATAATATCAGTAAAACTGTTCTTTCACTAAAACACACAGGAATTTCAGAAAAACACTGTAAAAATTTAAAAAATTAACATATTTACTCTTTCAGTTTTGAACATTTTGATAGCCAATATATTTGTATTTATGTATAAGGGTCACTCAAATGAAAGTGGCACTTTTGATTTTTATCTGTAATGGTTTAAAGTAATAGTGACATACATGGGCTACATATTCACTACACATAATTGCCTTGTACATTTAAGCAAGTGTTCCAGAACATCACTAGATTTTGGGTACTCTGAACAAAGAATGTCTGTATTTGGCTGTGGAATCAATCTTCAATGACATCTTGGACCTCAGCATTGCTAGCAAACTGGTGGCCTGAAGATGTGATAGTTGCAGGGCACCATATTGGATCCATAGGAAAGAATGGTAGAGATCTTCTCAGCGGAAGTGCTGCAGGAAATCTTGGCACACTATTGCCACATGTGGGTGTTTGTTGTCATGCAACAGAGTAACCCCATTTGACAACATATTGGGTCACTTTCTCTTAATTGCTGTTTTGAGTTCAGTTAATGTAGCACATACTGTGATTGGATGAATCCATATCACAACTGTATGTAGTCAACTTGCTTCAGCATATGCAAACAGCTTGCTTCCTGACATACAATGCCCTCTGTGTATTGGAATAATGATACTAATACAAAAGTCTCACTTTTATTTAGGCAAACCACATAATTTGTTTTATTCTATAGTCTTGTTGAAAGCACATCTTTACCACAACACCGGAGAATAGTAATATAACTCTTTCTAACCTGTTACCGGTGCGTCTACTAACTCTTAAAGATTTAAAACTAACGTTTTCGAACCCCTAAAACGGTTCTTCTTCAGGCTTTTTCGAATCTCTGATGGAAAATGCAGCTCGTAAAAACTTTAAATTCGAAATATGTAAGTTCGAATGCACGTTTCCCATTTCCGTCGTTGTATGTCATGCGCAGTCGACTCCAACATGGGCTACCATAAATTACCATTCATAAATGCTAGCCACGCTGTTGATAACATAATCTCTTCTTTATAATTGATGCATTGATTATCCTTAAGGTTAGC